AAATAAGACTCAAAATCAATAAAAACAAAAAACAAAATCAACAGATCCTTTACTTAAATCTAACTAAAAATCCTCTATATGATATATCACATCCATTTTCTGTATCTCTTTTCCTTTTCATTTCTTTTCAGGAAATTAACAGGAGCTGAAGGAATTCTGACATAATAAGCGCTGGATCTGTGAATGAATCTGTAGTACAAACAATTCCCAAAGTACACCTTGCGTTTATGACTGTCGTGAAGCCAAAAGCAGACAACGCTGTTACATTGTGTGCCTCTCGAAATGAGAAGAAAATGTGCAAAGATGATGAACTTTGTACTCAGTGACTAAAGAAAGAGGAAGGGCGTAGTAAATCATATGGAACTTTGATGAAGAAATGTGGACTAGCTGCTTTGGTTGTTTTTTTTTGCTTTAAGATAAATACATGTGCAGGTCTTTTTAAAATATACAAAAGGTGTTAGTACTGAGTCGTGGGAGCTTTTCACCCTCTTACGATGAGTGTCTCACCTGCAAAGGTGCTAATGTATGTCATGTTTTGTCTTGCTGCAAAAACCTATCTTAGATATCAAGAAATTTGCAAGAGGAGGCAGGATACAGGAAGAAAACGAGCGAAGAAGCGAAGAAAGATCAATAAAAATTACAATTGCACATAACTTTTTTTTTTTTTTTTTTAATATTAAGAATGTGGAACCGATCTCACTTCTCAAATTATATTTCTGAAATCTCTTGTGTCTTTCCAAGCGAATCGTTACAGTTGCTTGTTGACAGATGACTGCAGTGGAGTTTTTCCCTTTCCAGCCTTGGACTCGCTATTGGAAAAAGAACTGGCGATTGAACGAGCGCACTATCCTCTATCTGAATGCCAACTTTATCTTTGTCATCTCTAAAAGACTTCTGGTGTTCACTACTTCCTTCCTTTGAGGCTTCACCTTCTTCAGGAGTTAGGGTTGTGTTCCCTAGGTTTCCTATGTCTGCGACCTTTTGGCAAAGAGAAAAAATATATATTGCTATAGCTTGGTAACAATTATTCTCAATAACAAGTAATTCATACAATATTTTCTTAAGAAATGTAAAGGAAGACATAACCCAAACACAAAGACACAAAGCCAGACATACAAGCAAAGGCACAAGCACAAACACACACAAGCAGTGAAACAAACCAAAACTCACAAGCACAAACCCAGACATGCAAGGAGAGGCACAAATCCAGACAACTAAAACCATCAAACAAATCTTTATATGCTAGAAAAGATACAAATCCTAACAAACAAGAAAATGCAAATATGCAAGCAAAGATACAAACCCATAAATGCATGCAAAACACATACCTAGACACAAAAATAAAGATAAACTCACTCACATACAAACAAAAGCACCAACCCATACACACAAGCAAAGACACTTATCTAGACACACTTAAAAAAGATAAACCCAGACACACACACAAAGACACACAAGCAAAGACACATGCTAATGCAAACCCAGCAGACACAGACAAATACAAAGACATAAGTAAGCTGACAAACACATGCATAAAGAAAGAAGGAAAATGACCTGACTAATTCTATTATGATAGCAGTAATATGTACTCTACAAGGTGAAAAAGCTAAGCAAAAAATAACGTCAAAAATATGTATATCTTAACATCAGATATATTACAAAAAAGTTAACATCATGAAGTATTAAATAAAATAGTTGAAAGAACTTCTAATTACAATCTAGATATATTCTAAATGCATTCAATAAATCATTTTTACTATATTTCAAGCTTTACTATTATGGTTCGTCATCTACAAAAAGGAATAACATTCAAAATTAATTCATAAAGGTTCCATTTCATTCATAGAAGATGAAAAAATGTTTAGATACATATCCTTCTCGAAAGACAAAATAATGGGGGTTGAATTCTCAAACTGCGAGAAAATTCCTAACCTTTCAAGCACTCATTCACACTTCATTTAGATTCTTATGAATAATCAAAGAACCAAATCAAGTGAAAGCAACAATCTATATTTATAAATATTTAGAAGAAAAATTCTCTCCACCTCCACTTTTCTTTTTTTTACACTTTCATAATTCCCTTATATTATTTCACTGCACATTCATGCTTTTCTCTAATGATATAACTAATAAAAAAAATAGCAAATTAAGTTGTTGTTTTTATATAGCAAATTGGATAATAGAGCATTTGGAGAAATGGAAAGAGATATAATTAAGTTTATGTTAACAGTAGTACAGACATTGTTTTTATGTAGAATAAATGTAAAATAATGTGTGAAAATAATAAAAAATACCATATAAGTAGTTTCTTTTGATAAGTAATAATCAAGACCAGTCAGGATTAATTAAACTAATATAAATTAACTTTCATGTCTTATTATCCAAAATATGAATGAACATAAATATTTTTAATATCTAATGAAAATATGAACTCAACATAACTGTGTGTGTACATATATGAATACATATATACATATATACATATACAATATATATATTATATATATATATATATATTATATATATATATATATATATATATAATATATATATATATGTATGTAATGATGTATGTATGTATGTATGTATGTATGTATGTATGTGTGTGTGTGTGTTGTGTGTGTGTGTGTGTGTGTGTGTGTGTGTGTGTGTGTGTGTTGTGTGGTGACAGGTGTGGTGTGTGTGTGTATGTGGTGTTGGTGGTGTGTGTGTGTGTGTGTGTGTTGTGTGTTTGTGTGTGTTGTGTGTGTGTTGTGGTTTGTGTGTTGGTGTGTGTTGTTGTGTTGTTGTGTGTGTGGTGTCGTGTTGGTGTGTGTTGTGTGTGGTGTTGTGTGTGCTTGTGTGTGTGTGTGTTGTGTGTGGTGGTGTGTGTGTGGTGTGTTGTGACATATATATATATACATACATATATATATACATATATATATATATATATATATATATATATATATGTATATATATATGTATATATATATATATATATATATATATATACATATTATATATACATATATAAAAGAAAAAAAAATCTTTCCTGTGCATGAGTTACTACTGAGAGTGTTATTCACTGAAACTTACACATTCTTGAAAACTAAACAATATAATGGAAATCATGACATAAGACTGTAATAAAAACAAGTAGTGTCAAATATTATGGAATTTCAACCTTCTATTGTGAATATAAATGCCATGCTGACCAATTATAGCAACAGCAACAATGACAAGAACAACAGAATACACAAAAAAATTCTATATGCATCCATTTTTTTCTTTTTTCATCAAAAAGGTCAAGTCACTTACCACGACTGAAGGAACTACAGACTCCTCTTGTTTTGGATCTTCAGTTTCCGCGCTGGTTGATCCCAATTTTGCCTTATTTGGAGGTAGTGCTGTCTTATCTGAATCTGTTGATAAGTCACCAGATCCTGTTAGCAATCTATTGGAAACCATATCTGTTTTATCAGATTCCAATGATAAAGTGTCTGATTCTCTTAATAACTTACCAGACGTTTTTGCACCTCCTCTGCGCAACTTCTTCTTGTAAAACTTATTTTTCTTTGGTTTTGACCATCTTCTTGAGTTCGGGATTCTTTTCTTACGATTAATCCACGGCACTTTCCCACCAATTTGTGCGGCACTCTGAGATTTTTTGTTCTGTTCTTCTTCTGAAGACTGTTTGGGGGTTTCAGGAACGATGGGGGCTTCCTTTCGGAACTGTCTCAGTAAACTCGTTCTTCTTTTGGATGCTGCCAATCGCCTGGCACTGCTCTGTGGTCTGCTTGCGTTTTCCTCTGGAGGAGGTTCCAGCGTTACAGGTGTTACTGAGTCCTCATTTCTGAACTGTAGGCTCATCAAAGGAGCTACAATTTCCGGTTGTAAAACTTCAGATGGCGGTGAATTCTCTACATTTTGTTTTTCCTTATGGCACTCAGGATACAGATTCTGATCCTTGACTTGCTGGGATTTTGGGGGAGAACTTATACTCCCTTCTTCTCCAACATGCATATAATGAATCTTGTCTGCTTGCTTTGGCATTACGGAGGATGGAGTGCTGTCACCGTTAGAAACAGGAGGCTGGACAATCTTGCGAGGACGCCCAACTTTTCTCTTTGGCACAGCTTCCTTTCCCGTATTAGGTCTGCTTTCACCACTGGCAGTTGTTTGCTTGACCTTCATGTTCTTTTTTGTATATTTCCTCTTTCCTCCGGTGAGAAGGAGGTTCTGCTTCTTCGGGCCTTCAGATTTTCTTTTCCCCTTGGATGCTGCACTCTTTGGGGTATCTAGCAAGCTTGAGACAACAGATGTCGTGCTATCTTTTGTGCTCTTTCTCTGGCCTTTTGGCAACCTGACAGCACCTTGCAGCTGCTGAAAATCTCTTAATTCAACACACTCTCTCTGAACTGAAGATAGTGGTGTGGCCTGGATTTGCGTGCTGCTCTTGTCACCTCCACCTCCTGTCTTTGATTTGCGTCTGCCTTTTACTTGGTGATAGTCGCTTGGTCCCTCTTGAACACAGTCACTATTACTTGGGGCATCAAAAGGTATATCTGCTGATGGTCGCAAAAGGGCCTGCCTGATATGTACTGAAATTTTCTACTACTTCTCCTGGTTCTAACTTCAAATCCACTACCATGATATCCTGAAAAAACAATTTCAAAAAGTCAATAAACATTTAAAGAAAATATATGTTCTTTTTTATATAACTTCTTTACAATTACACTACAATTAATTATTAATTTCCTTATTCTTTTCCATTCTCCCAGTCTACATATCATCAACTGCTGTCCGTATTATCTTAAATTTCTACATTTTCCTCCTATATTCATCTAATACTTTCTTCTCTTTCAAAGAAGTTTCATCTCATTTTTTTCCCCTGTATTTGAAAACAGACCATGGATTTAATCTAACACTTTCACATTATAATATTTGGATTATCTAAGCCAGCAACCCATCTTTTTTGTGTGTGTGTGTGTGTGTGTGTGTGTGTGTGTGTGTGTGTGTGTGTGTGTGTGTGTGTGTGTGTGTGTTGTGTGTGTGTGTGTGTGTGTGTGTGTGTGTGTGTGTGTGTGTGTAATACTTCTTGACCATGTATTTCAAGAACACAAATATATTCAAAGAAGAAAAAGAAATAGGGGTGGCAGGTAGAGAAAGAGAAGGAGAAGAAACGAAGGAGGAGGAACAGGAGAAGGAAGAGAAGGAGAAGATAAAGAATGACAAGTGAAATGGAGAAGGAGAAGAAAGAGATGATGAAGAAGGAAATGATGGAGACAAAATAGAGAATGAGAATGAGAACCAGGAGGAAGAATGGGGAGGGGGAAAAGAGAGGATAAGGATGAGGAAGAGGAGCAGAGATGGAGATTAGAGGAGCAGAGAGGAGAGGAGAGGAGGAAGAGGAGTAGGAAGAGGAGAGAGGCGAAAAGAGGAGGAGGAGGAGTAGGAATAGGCGAGAGAAAAGGAGAGTGTGGAGAAGGAGATAGTAGAAGAGAAGGGAATTATGGTAGAGGAGGAGGAGGACGAGGAGAAAGATGAAGAAAAAGAAGAAAAAAATAAAGTAGTTTCAAGAGGAGGAAGCTGAAGATTGAAAAAAAAAAAAATAATAATAATAAATAAAAAAATATCATTGTTAAAAACAAATAACAAATAGCATGCTCACCTCTTCCGAAACATCTGTGGCGACATCATCCACACAATTCTGACTGAACCCTTGTTGCTGAACCTTATTACTCTCTCCCTGCTGCGCCTGACCACGACTCGGGCTTTTGCTAGGTTCAGCATTTTTCTTGGCCTCAGCAGTGGAATTGGAAGCTTTCATGGGTGCACTGAGGCTGACAGCTGAGCCTGGGACAATACTGGGGATGTTAGGGTTGTGCCCCAATTCCCCGCAGGTGTTTTGCGTGAGGGGCTCCTCCGTGACTGATATCGGGGGTAGATCCCTGATCATTTCGCTGTACCTCATGCGCTTCGCCTTCTGCCAGTCGTTATTCAGGTTCATTCTCCTCTTGTTGTACTCCTGCATTTGGTCCACGTTTGGCAAGGGGACGTGCCTCTCGGCCAGGATATTCTGAACTCTCCTCCCCCCCTCCATCTGCTCCTGCTCATTGCTCGAGCTGGACAATCCTTTGACCTTCCAGGCTTCTGCCGTTTCCATAAACCCAGCCAAGTCCTCCTGCATGATGTCGACCTCCCCCTCATACATGTAGGACAGCAATGCCTCCAGTCGAGCTGTTTTCATATCTGTCATGACAATCATGGGGTGCTTGCCGTTGATCTTGTCAAACATCTCTTCAAAGTAATCACTGCACGCTGCTAAGACAAACTTGTGCACTGAATAATACTTCCCATTACACAAAACAGTGGCATCGCAATACCAACCCTGTAAAAAAAAAAAATAAAAGACATATGAATAACATTAGAATATCTATATCTATATCTACATATCTACATATATATTCATATCTATATCTATATATCTACATGTCTATATCTATATTCATATCTATGTCTATATTTATATTGATATCTACGTCTATATCTACATATCTATATCTATATTCATATCTATATTGATATCTATATCATATATTCATATTTATATCTTTGCTATACACATATCTATATCTATATTAATATCTATATCTATATCTACCTATCTATATGTTTCCTACTTTACACTCACACACCTGGATTTATTTTAAAATAAATGACAAATCTTCTTATTCATCATAAACATAATTTCCCAAAAGAATCTAAAAAATGCACTGTACAACATGACGCAATTAATAATCATATTACTTAATTAATAATGTCTAATAATCCTACACTTCACATTGTAAATGTTATTTTCTATATACTTCTGATGGCTAGTATATATGAAATCAAAAGAGACATTATATGCATATCCTTAAGAAAAAAGAAGAAAAAAAAAAAAAACTAGAATTCCATTATTACATGAGGTATGTTAGCTGAACTCATAAAATTATATAAAAGAAAAGAAAGGAAAAAAAATATAGAGCTATTTAGCCATACTAAATCCTTAGTTGTATTCACTTTGTATGAATAATATGACGATCTTTAATACCACCTGGAAACTCACAAGCTTCAAGATGAGAAATTAGATACAAGTTAATTATTATTATTATATTATTATTATTATTATTCAATAGTTGTTGTTTTTGCTTCTCATTACAATTTTTCCTTGCTTTGTTCCTTATTTTAATATATATATGAATAAATAAAAAAATGTAATCAATTGTTTTAAATATTGCATCCAATGCAAATTTTCTGATGACTTATATGCATATATGAATATCAAAAGATATACAGATTTTCAGTATCCTAAAAGTCCACATATGAAGGGTTAATGGTAATACACTCAAAACTAGAAAATTAAATTGATTTTCTTGATTTTATCTGACTACAAGATTCATTACTGGGAATTGGTTTGGCGTAGTTTTAGCATAATACCGATTATTACTAAAGATACACATGCATGTGTGTGCATACATGAACAAACAGATGGATTATCATTATTGTTATCTCACATACACACACACACACACACACACACACACACACACGCACCACACACACACACACACACACACACACACACACACACACACACACACACACACACACACACACACACACACACACACACACATGCACCCCCCACACACATGCACCCCCCACACACACACACATACCACACATGCATCCCCCCCCACCTACCCCCACGCACAATATGTATATATTCACATCCTCACCTCTCTTCTTGCATTTTTCAGCAGGTGGAGAAGGGCGGAGTAATGCGCATTCCACTGAACGGTTATTGAATTAGCTGCCATTGCCGAGGTCTGTTCAGTCCTGGAAAAAAGGGGAAGAAATAATTAAATTCATATAAATAATTAATAAAATAAAACAAATGTATGTGTACATAAAAGAACTTTGAAAAAACTTATGATTAATTGAATTTTTGTTTGATAAAATGGTTTAGATGATTTAACATAAAACTATACTCTATAAGAAAAAAATCATAAATAATGCTTTATTCTTTGATGGACTGACATGCATTTAAAAATAAGAATTTGAAAAAAAGGGAGGAAGAAAAATAAAAATAAAAATCTATGTTTGAGAAAATTCATAAAAGGAAATAACAAATTAAGAATTATTGTTTCCTTATTAGTAAAATGTATCATTATATATTCTTGAAAGCTTCAATTAAGTAAATAAAGATTAAATACAAGGAACTTAAATTATCTAATCCAAGATGGCAATAAATATTCACTCATAAAAATATATCTAAGCTATATATCTTATAAATTAAATTCCTTACATTTAGAGCTTTCATTTCTCTTATAAAACAAAAAATTCTACAGAATATCACCATAATTACTTGTTATTATTGATAAAAATAATATAGTCATATCAATTATAAGAATCATGTCACTAATTCTTTAGTAGAGATTAATGAAAATATTTTTCTTCTATAAATGTTTCTGTAAAAAAGAAAGGATTCATTACATAAATAAATATAACTGAAATACATGCATAAACAAAAGTAAAAGAAGATATGTAATATTAACAAAAAAATCACAGTAGCTTAGACCTGAAATAACATTAAAAAAAAACATCCATTATTAACTATTTCTGTAGAAAAGGAAAAAAAGTGATTATAAATACAAAATAAATAAATAAACAACATACAAATCAACAGAAAATACAATAACCTAAACATTGAATAACATTTAAAAAATGATAGTATATATTATAAATTCCCTAACATCAAATCACACACTGTAAATCTCTTGATTCTAACCTTAGATAATACAAAAACTACTAATAAATCACAAAATCATAAACGAAAGCGTAGTATAATACAATACAAATACATACAAATAACAATACAATAAAACTGGAGCTTCAATAACACAGGAAAAAAATAACTTATATAATTCACTAACAACAAATTACACACATCCTACAAACCCTTTAATTATAACCGTCATTACGGTCCTAATTACAACCATATTTACAACTACGACTTAAACTATAATCTTAAAAATATATTTACCTTTTCCTTAAACTCATTACGTCATTTTGTCTCTATGGCAACAAGTCAATTCCACAAATGAATAAAGACAGTTATCATGTTTAACGGTCATTTAACGGATTAATTAACGGAAATAATAAATAATTATAACGGCTGTTCCTTCCCTTCAAGATTAAATGGAGTTTTATCAACTGCGCAATCTCAAAATTTTTCAAATAATTTCGTCTTTATTTCCCGTTTGTGTAAGTGATATTGTTGTATTAATGTGTTCTTGGCTTTTCTTTTTGTCTTTTTTGTTTTGATTGTTTTTCTGTTTTTTTATTTGTTTTGTTTTATATTGATTGCAGTTTTCAGCTTTAATTCCTGTTTGCGTTGATGACTTTTGTTGCAATTCTCTTTCCAAAATTGTTTTTTATACTTTTCTCGTTTGGTATTATATCTTTTTTCCTATTATTATTTTCATTGCTGTTATCTTTATCATTAATCGCGGTTATTTGTATGTCACTTTTCGTATTATTTGTGAATCGTATGACTGTATATTCTTTTTACCTAATTTCTTTTCTTGTCATACAGTTTGCATAATGATAATTAATAAATCATTAGTTCGTGAAAACAGAAATCACATTAAGAAATATTCGTGTCATAAAATGAGGGAAAATATATCATCTTAAAAAGATGTCGGATCGAAATTCAGTTTTCTCACATGTTATGCAAGAAGATTCGAGAACTGTTTTCCAGTTCTGATATTTTCTTCCCCAGTAAGTTGGTTATTAAATAAATACATGAAAGTATCTGTATGTGACAACTGGTGATAAATTTGTCTTTGTTTGTTGAACTACCTAAAACAGGTATTCATTATTTCGTATGCGTTATATATAACCCGAATTGAGGAAATACATATTCTAGAAAAAAATAAAGAAGAGAAATAGACATGAATGTTGAAGTTATTAAAAAGGCGAGTTGATAATAAATGCGTATTATATTTTATTGGGAACATTAAAAAATCTACGGCGGTAAAACACCAGTTTTGGTCCAAGAAAAAGAAAAAATATCTTGAAAAACGGCCCAAATACTTCCAAATACAGGTCTTAACATATAAAATCATACCGAAATTACAAGAAGAAAATTATATGAACAGAGAGAGAATCAGAGAAAGTTAAATTCTTGTACAGAAATACTGAAAACTATCTTCAATAAAAATATATCCATCATCCATACAATAGTCCATACAGACATGTTACACCTTTACATTACAGAATAAATAATAAATTTGATGACTGAGTGACCAGAAGGATAAATAGAATTATAATTATGAAGTGTACATAGAATAATAATCATAATTATAATAATTTGAGTATTCTTGCACCACTGCACGCAGACGAAAATCAATATATTGAACCCTCAGCTGGTATCATAACGGTGGGTTACATGCGTATAACAAAATTACAATTTGTTCTCATAATTTTTTCATGCAGTTGCATTTATGTTTAACTCATGATTTTGTCAATAATGAAATGAGTATGGTTACATATTAATCATTGTAGAAAAGGAGATCATAAATATCTTTCCTTGCAAAAATATAAAACACCTGAGCATAACCTAACCTGTTGCGAAAGAATTTTGAAAAAATGGCGCAATGATGATAATAGCAATGATGACAAAAATTGTAATGATAGCATTATTGATAACAGTGATAATGATGATAATAATAATGATAATGATAATAATAATAATTATAATAATATAATAATAATAATAATAATAATAATAATAATATAGTAAATAATAATAATAGCAGTAATAATATAATAATATGATAATAATATATATAATATAATAATAATATATAATATAATAATATATAAAATAATAAGGATAACGAAAATAATAATAAATAATAAGGATAACGATAATAATAATGATAATAACAATAAAATAATAATGATAGTAATTAATAATAATGTGATGATGAAATGATAATGATAATGTTAATGAGAATAGTAATAATGATAAAAACAATAATAACAACAATACTAATAATGATGATTATATTAATAATAGTAACAATAAAAAATGATAATTGATGATAACAATAATGATGATGATAACAGTAGTAGTAATTATAAAATGATAATAACATTAACAATTCAATTTTGGTCAAAATAAGAAATAAAAAGGCATTTGATCACAATTAAATCATAAACCACAAAAAATTAACTATTAACTCTCTGCCTTTGAGCATACACCCTAATTGCCGATATAATTATAGCAATAAATTTTTATGATGATGATGATGATAATAATAATAATGGTAAAGATAAACTATAATAATAATAGTGATAATAATGATAATGGTAATGATAACAATAATAATAATAATAATAATAATAATAATAAATAATAATAATAATAATAATAATATATAATATAATATAATAATAATATAATAATGATAATGATAATAATAATAATAATATAATAATAATAATAATAATAATAATAATAATAATGATAATAATGTTAATAACAAAATAACAATACTAATAATAATACTAACAATAATAATGACAACAATAATAATAATGGTGATAATAATAACAATAGTACATGATAATAATGATTATAGTATAATGAAGAAAAATATTGATAATAATATTATTGTTATGTTAATGAAGACAACAATGCTACTATGACTACTGCTAATAATTATGATAATGATGATGTTACTGACAGCTCTGAAACAAAACAACAACAAGCAACAATTGATAATCATGGATAATGATTAAAGTAGATGATGGTAATAATAATAATAACAACAATAATGGTAATAATAATAATAATGATAATGATCATAATAGTGATAATAATAATGTTAATAATAATGATAATGATTTTTATAATAATGATAATAATAATAATAAGGATAATGATGATGATGATGATGATGGTGATGATGATGATGAAATGATAATAATATAATAATAATAATAATAATAATAATAATAATAATAATATAATAATAATATAATAATATAATAATAATAATAATAATGATAATGATAATAATAATGATGATGAAAATAACAATAATGATAATGATAATAATGATAATGATAATGATAGTTATTTCAATAATAGTAATAATAATGATAATGATAACAGTAATCATGATGATAATAACAATAACAATAGTAAAAAAGATAATAATAGTAGTGATTATAATAACAATAGTAATAATGATAATGATAGTAATAATAACATAAATGATAATAACGATAAAATTAAATGATAATAATAATACCAATAATTATAAGAATAACAGTGATAATAATAATAATATCAATAATAATGATAATGACAATGATAAATAACATACTAATGATGGAAAATGAATAATGATAATAATAAGTTATTATTATTATCATCATTGTTAACATCATTATCGTTG